GGCCTTCTGTTGCACTGCCAGTATGGCAAACACTGTACAGGGATAACACTTTCCAGAAGAGTCAGAAAACTAAATGGATGAAACATTTCCCCCAGCTCAGTTTCTTACCCATGGGAAGAAAACTGACTTGCCCACTCATGAAAAAAATAATGTGAGTTCAGAAATGACCCAAGTTTCCCTTAAATTTTGCAATACCTGCTCCATAAGCATTTCCCACTACTTACTTTGTCTAATACCGTTTTAGTATACTCTCTGGTCATCATCTATAGCTTCCAACTTCGCTTCTTAACTGCAAATTAAGCTCCATGCGCCTTAAATTCCTTTGGACAACTTAACATCTCAGTGTAATTCCTCACTGAAAAGTTGCAGTGTACAAAAAAAAAAAAAAACAAACACCCCCTCAATCTCTCAAATAATTTTGATGCAGACTGCCCAGTGATAACAAATCAGGCTCTGCAGACTATTTGTTAAAGAGTTGTTGCAACAGATGAAACAAAGATACGAAAAGGAGGGCTGGGAAGGAAATAGAAGATTAACAACAGGATCCATGAAGAAAGGTGACAATAAGATGGGAACAGAAAAAGAGGAAAAAAAAGCAGGATTTCTTTCTCCCACTAACAGATGGTCTATTAAAGATGTTAACACATCTGCTACACATACTAGCTCACAGACAAATGCACAGATTTCTCAAATGCTTACAAGTATCCTGGCTTCCCAAAGGATTAGGTCACTGGGAATTGGAAATTCTGATTTCTTTAGTGGATGCTTACGTCCATACAAGCTCTTAGCATGCATCACAGACAGATTTTTGTATGAACTCCAAACATTGTTATGCCATTATTTCATTTTCAACATAGTAATCAAAAAAGCTCAAAGTCCAGAAGATGATGTATGAAATAATTCAGCCTTAAAATGAATAAAGGAGGTCTGAAAGTCATAACAGTAAGAAGTTGATTTGTTAAAAAAGAGTGGGAAAACCACTTAAGATGTGTTTGATTTTTTTCATTTATCCAGTGCTCTACTGTCATCATGCAGTAACAGCTTCTGTTGTAGTCACATTGATTATATTAAAGTGCTTACTCAATTGTTTACTTAAAGGTTATAACTAAATATTGACCCATACAACACGACTTGTAGTTCAGTACAAGAAGTGAGAATTATTTTTTTTTTTTCAGGCAATAGGAAACACATGGCCTCATGCTGAGTGAGAATGGGAGATGCTAAGAATGGGCTCAGTCACTTCCTCCTTGTAAAAGAGAAGTGAGGAAGCTGTAAGACATCCCAGTGGTTCCCAAGTCTGCCAAAATAAGATAATCAGGTTCTGGTGAAAAGAGGACAGAAAAGATATCTAGAATTTTATGAAAGTTTAACATTTCATTCATTTCTTTCAAGCCAAAAGTAGTACAAGACAAAATACAGAAAATACACAAAACTGTTATCTCCATCCTTCATAATACTTCAATTAAGTAATTAACATAATTCTTCAATTAAGAGTGAGGGAGGAAAAAAAAAAAGCATTAGAAGGAACACAACAAAGAACATTCATTCACTCCAACTCAAACTGCAAATCTTGTAGTAGTTTTGTGTTTTCAAAGTTTACCTCCCAAGGCCTCTCACTAAATTAAAAAAAAAAGTTAAATTATGTAGTGCTGTGAGTAATATAGTAAGTCAGAACTATTCCCAAATGAGAAAAAAGAATGGAAACATTTATCACTTATCCCTTCTTCATACCTTCCTTTTCAGAAGTAACAAATCTATGACTTCTTACAAATGGAAGAAAACTGTAACTTACTATAAGTGACATCATCTTCAGTGAAGTAAATACTCTTATATGTATGTAATTCAGCACATTATGTTATGAGCATTATGTGTACATTATGTTACGTACACGTTATGTACATGTACATTATATCTATGTACCATCATATATATAAAAAATATAAACACACCATTTTCTTTCAGACATATAATGGAAACTGCATGTCCACTGATTCAAGAACACCTCCATTAGAAGTTTGACAAATGAAACACAAAAACAACAAGGAATGCAATGTATCTGAACTCCAAATTAAAGAGATTGTATCTCAAGCAGTGATTTCTTAGTTAACTGATTTTTTTCTTCCCTGCAGCTGATTGTAAAAAAAAAAACCATGATTGTTTGAGTAGTTGTAGCATCTGTGAGCTGGGTACCTCCTAAGAACCATTAAATACAATTTTCACGTGCTCCCAGTCTTCTGAAAATCACAAACTGATCACTAACCCAGCTTAGACATACAATATATTCCATACAACTTGATGTGTCTGAAACAAAAAAGTTACCAAGGAATCAGACCGAAATCAATTACTTACTTTTGTGTTTAGAACGAGGAGCAGAGTGCACTTCTGCAGTTACAGTTTTCAGAGGTTTGGGAGGCTCTTTAGGCCCCCAGTCTTCTTCCCACTCCCTTTTAAATTTCTCTTCCTCTGCTGTTATCCTATGTGGAAATAAAATGCAGCTATGAATACAAAGTATAAAAATAACAACACAGACATAAATTCATTAGAATTGTTTACTCTGTAGTACATCTTGGTTTGTTTGTTGGTTTTCCATTAATGCATCATAAAATGCCTCTTGCACCAAACCAAAATCCTTTCAGTGATGTAAGAGTCATTTTTTGAAGAACCTAATGACTTCTTTCTGATTTGCTGGAAATACGTTCAAACACTAAATGAGAATTTACTTACACACTCCAACATTACAGATGGGAAAAAAAGCTATTTTAATGTTATCTATTAATGGCCTTTGATACCTCAATGGCTATTAGGATAACTTGGAAACTCTATGTAAAATACTCTGATTTTCATATTAAGTTAAAATGTATATATACAGATATATAAACAAATTCACAAATTTTAAGCCAAGAGGAATCCATAACAACACTACCACCTTAATTGAAGTCGCCTGTTTCTTCTTAATTGAAGAACTGTTTCTCATTTTTTTTCCACTTCAAAATTTGAAGTATATATTAGAAAAATAGCATTTCAACTAAAATATGGAGTGTAGAAGTATCTACAACATGCCTAGAGTCAAAAGTTTCAGTTGTAAATTTTTAATTGGATCTTACTTCTATTTTGATGATTGCTTCCTAAAGACATAGTTCTAGGCTACACTAAAAAAAATGACTCATTTGGCAATGAAATATAAACCTTGTTGAGGCACAAAACACATTAAAGTCAGCATTTTAGAAAAACAGTCACACCGCAGGAAAAAGCAGTTCATAAAACAAGGAAAAAAAGTAGAAAGGCACCACCATCAATAAATTGACACTTCGAAAGAAAATTCTGAAAATCCCACGTCACAACAGTACTATCACATAACCTAATAACTCGTAGCTTCATATACAATACCTTTAAGTGGCCTAAGATCTATTCTTGGCTCCAGCCTGTCTTGAATTGATAAACTGACAAACGGTGCCAAAATTTACCAGATCTTATATGATACTATTTGCACTTGGATTTTCTTGTGGATCCCAAATTAAGCTAAGATAAATTTAAAACATATCTACGTGGCCAAAGCACTATTTAATCTGCACTGAAAGTCAGTATTTAAAATTGGAAGCACAGTCAGTAGCAAGGCACATTGAAAAGAATGTTTAAACTTGTTATATTTAATTTAAAAAAAAATCTATGGTGTTACAATGTAACTTGAAGTATGCTGAGAATTAATGACCTCTGTCATTTAGGCATATCTGATTTTTTTTCTTAAATTTTATGTTTTCCAGCTCTTCAGCCATTCTTCCGTTTCTTCCTTGACCAATTTCATTCCAACATTTATTTCTTCCTTTCCATTAAAATTAAACACCAGAAGCAGAATAATCAAGTTCTGAGACACAAATTCTTTTATCTGGTGTTCTGTACATACCTGTTCGACACATACCTTATAACATAGTTTTAAAAAAGAACATTCAACTTCATTCAACTTGAAGTTTACATTATTTATTATCAACATAACATTTGTGTTTTCCAGGTGCTGCTTTTCAGTTTCCCATTTTGCAACTCTCTGGTGCTCTTATTGAGATCCATGGGATACTACACTTCATTAGATATACAATTCTATTAGAAAAGAATGTTTTTGGCCAGATCTAATACGTAACAATCCTGTTTTTTTGTTTTTTTTTTCCCCTTCTTTTTCCAGGCAGCATATTGCCTCTGTAGTCTGTTACTTACTGCTCAATTTCTCTGCGATATCTCTCTTCTTCCTCTGCAGCCTTCTGGGAAATTTCCATTTTTCTTCTGTAACAGGAATTAGGACACCGTGATAAAAATAGTATTTTCTGAGTAAGAACTTGCACAAAATGTGTCAGCATATAATTACTGAAATATATGGTCAGCAAATACATACACATAGGGAAAGAATTTTCTTTTTTTTTTTTTTTTTTAATAAAGTCTTTAAGATACCAAGGGTTCAACGTACTTTTGTTCGAACCTTGAGGACATTCATGACCATATGATAGCAAGGACACATTATCTATTTAACTCTAACTCTCTATCTCCTTCTGAGACAGTACTAAAGGGTGTTATTCTAAGAGCACAAATTTGTTACCATCCTACGAAAAATCATAGAGAAAGGAATGGCATCAAGAAAATGCCCAATACTCCAAGCATTGGGAGTATGACAGCTGAGGAACAAAGTAACCCTTTAACTCAGCACACCTATTTGAATGATGCTGGTTTTGAAAACCCAAAACATTGGTGGAATAAGGATTCATTATTAGAGACTCCATAAGATCAAGTTCAGCTGGGAATCTTCTTACAATTATTCCTGTCTTATTTGCCCTCTTCAAATCTAAGTTAAAATTTTTCAGACCCTCCTGGACAGATTCCTTACAATCTCTCTTTCTCTTGCTGCTCTTTGATGATTTTGTTAGTCTCCAGTGCAAGTCGCTTCTGATGCATTAACTCCTGGCGTTCCTGCTCACGAAGATGTGCTTCTCTCTGCCTCTCTTCTTCAGTCATGAATAGTTCCTTTCCCTGCAACCAGCACCCCAACACAAATCAGTCACTAGAGAGTCTCACAAATGCAATTTTCCTAGGAAATAATTCAGAACTGCTTACATAACACATAAGTACATTTGCCATTACTTCCCATTACTTTCAGTCAAGAATGCTTTGTGAAAGACAAGAAGATCGGGCACTTCACTCCAAAGAAATACTCCAGTTTTGGAGTAACGTATGATGTGCTAACATATGCAACTACTTTGCAGCAGTAGTGCAGTTGTCATGCCCAACTCACACTCAATACATCCCACAGAATGTGAACAAGGCATCAAAAGAATTCAATGGTAAAGACAATCACACAGTAATCATCTTTTAACGTTCCTTTGCCTATCTGCTACAGAATACCATAAAGCAGGGTATGTAGTTTGCAAGAGGTTATATTAGATGATGTGTTTCAGCTGGTTTTAGTCCTATTTTATTTGCTTTACAGTTAAGAATCCAGAAAATACTACTCAAGAAAGGTGTATCAGTGGTTCTGACTGTGAAATGCGTTGAAAATATTTAGTTATTACTGAAATATAAATAACATTAATTATCAATGCATGAGTTTTCAAAATTCTGTGGTTTTAAAGCTCATAAACAAAAATAGGCATTGAAGAATGCCTTTGTGACATGGTCTTTATTTAACTAGAAAAGAGGATTAAAGAAACAAAGTTTATCTATTGCAATTTCTTGTTTGGTACAGAGACATGTCCCAAAGAAACGAGAAAAAAATGAGGTGAAGTACAGTGGAGTTGAAGAGTTCCACAGCAAAAATTTTAATGAGGCCAATGGCACACACTTTTTCTAACAGCTTGTAGCATCTCTTGGAACTGAAATCCTTCGGATGTTCATTAGGAGACGATTAATCAGCTAGCCTGGAGCATTTCTTTAAACAATTTTATCATGCCTTTGAACAATTGTCTCTTCCAGTAAGAGTTGTTTAATTAAAATATGGATTCCTTCATACAGATAAACAGCATGTAACAACCCTTATGAAATAGTCCAAATGATTTATTAAACCTTGTTTCTACTTAATTCAGTTGTGAGGTAATTATAAAGTGTCTTCTTTGATTAGTCTACTGAACTTAAGTATGCTGTTGTATAAAACTGCGCATTTTACTGTCAGGATTAAAGCAGAAAAAGTATTGAAATACTATTTGAAAGCCACACTGAAATCAGCAGAAATTAATTTCAGTTGACTTTAGATCAGGACCCAAAGGCATATTGTTCTGTTGTACAAACAGTGAAAATTAAAAATTGAACAGTTTTCAATGTGTTGAATAAACACAATAAAGAGAAGAGATCTAACAGTTGTACAAGGAATACATTAACTATTCAGGAGAAAATGTTAATTGACTCAAACTTTCATGTATCAGTAGAAGAAGCTATCTGTCAAAACACAAGCTCTAAAATCAGAAAAAATCATTACCATAAAATTAATCCCCAGTCCTTGCAAGTGAACAGTATTGTCCTGACACTTCACATGAACAATGCACATTCCTGGAACTGTTGTATTTGAGCATACTGTGGATAGTTAGAAATAATAAGAAGCCAAATGGCTTCAGTTCGACCAAATTTGGAAGTAAAAACATCGTAATGAAATGCAGCTTTGTTTCTTATTTATTTTTACTATTTATTTGTCCACACAGTAATTTTCACAAACATTGTGCTTCTGTAAACATACTACTTACAGCGCCTGCCACTACAGAGATAGTCAAAGTACGGCTACTTTTGAGCACTCTGACAGCCTGCAAAATAAAATAAAATAAAATTTATCCTGCATTTAGTGGTAAACATGCTGTGCACATATGATGAAAAGCAGCTAAGAGAATCAGACAGAAGCTTAAAAAAAAAAAAAAAGAAAAAAAAAAAACAACAAAAAACCTGACAATTACATATTAATGGAATTAAGTAGTTTTAATCCTACCTCTTTATGATCCACATTCGAAAAGTCCACCCCATTCACCTCAACAATCTGATCACCAACCTAAAGGAGTAAATCCAAATCTTACTACAGATTCTGTACTAATACACATACTAACTGGAATGAGAGATTGTCAAACATTCTCAATAATAATTACATGTACTGGCAGAATATTCACAAGGGGAAATCAGCCAAGCATGCAAGTTCTCCCACCGGCATTTCCAATTGCCACTATTTGAGATGGAATTTTGAGTTAGGTGGACTGTTGTTCTGACCCACACATTTTGAAAGGCAGGGAACTTTTTTGACTGGAAATCTAACCATACAGTATTTCTTTCCCATAGAAAAAATAACAGCTAACATCTCTACAGTGATCCGGAATCCTTGAAGAAATAAATGCCAAACAAGATTTCTTTGTAGTGCCAACACTGTAAAATGGTATACTTACCTCTAAGCCCACTTCTGCTGAAAGAGAACCCGGCTTCACATTACTGACAAAAATGCCTGGTTTTTGTGTTGGACCACTGGAAATACTGGTGGAAGATTAAAAAAATAAATTGTAAAAATAATAATTACAGACTGATACAGAAGCAATCAACAAGTCTTGTTTTCTTCTTTCTCATTGAGAAAGTATTTTTACGGTGTAGATTACTCTGAAACAAGCACTGGACTTTGCAGGTACAGAGAATACTTTTCTACCCTTCTTGCCACAAAATCATACTTAAAAGAACAACATCAAAAGAAAAGTATTCAGGCTTCTGGAGATTGCTTTGGATGCTGAAGCTAACAGAGTACATGGTCCTAACGCTAAGGGACTGAGGGCGCTTATGGTATTGAAAAGTCAGCATGTAAAGCAATGAAGAGTTTAATAACTGCTTGCATAATTATTTGTTGAACTATAGTATACTGTGTACATGTATAACAGTATTATTGTTCAGGATTGTTTACCAAAAACAAAAAGGATATTACAATCAGGGTCCGAAATCTAGCGTTGAAAATCCAACCTGCAATCCATGCTGGCCCTCAAGACAACAGTCATTTCTGTTAATAATACGTCCTGCAGGTGATGTCAAATCACCCTTCCAGGTTTTGTAAATATAGTTAAAACTTTTTATCTTCCTAACAATATTAAAGAAAAATTATTATTTGAAAATATTCTGTGCAGGCAAATCTTGCTAATCTCAGCTGCTACACACTGCAACATGCAAAGAAAACCTACAATTTCTCTTCTACCTCAAAATCTTCACAACTAGATGAAAGGATACAAGTCTGAGAAGAATTTGCTCATATTTCGAAAAATGCTAGATATTCAAAATTAATATTAGGAAACCACTGCCTCTTAGTTCAGAAAAATTTCACAGAAAGTAGTCTTGGTGAGTCAATTTGACAGTAGACAATGCTAAAACCTACTATATTACAGAGCAGCATTTCAAAATATTGAAAAATTTAGAAACTTGAAAGCATTTAAAAGATCTAGATCCACAACACATCTTTTGTGATGTTACTATCATCTTCCTTTGATTTTTAAATTGAGATTTTTAAAAAATTTTAAGTCAGAACCTGGGACGCGGTTACTTATATTTGTCTAATAATAAATACGTGTCACAGATGCCCTCCTTTTCCTGTCAAGTTTTCTTGGTCCTCTGTGGTTCCTTATGTTCTACGTATCACCTCAATGAATGAAGGAACAAACTGCCCTGGATGTTTCATTTAACAAGCCATGGACCCACCTGCATCCCATGCCTTTTGTGCCAATCAAGCTAATGAAGACTTTCTTCTCTTTACTGTCTCTTCCTCCAGAAGAAGCAAGACCAGCCACACTGCCCTTTCCTTCCTAGAGAGAGATTTAAAAGCTGCAGGCATTACTCTGTGTTGAATGAAGTTGTACGAAGACCAATAGAAACTTTGCAAAGCTAAGAACAAAGTCTGACAATACCAAATTAAGATTCCTCCATGGATCAATTAGAAGTGAATATGAATTACAGTAGTGCAGTGTGACTGATGTGAAAGACAAACATCTATTTGGAGAAAATTGTTTCAATAATCCAGCTTTTTCTCCAGACAAGGATGAAGGAAAATTAGAGGAAAGTGATACTGCAAAATAGTAATTTAGATGTTCCCTAACAAAAAAAGCTTGAAAAAAGACTTGATAATGCTCACTACTTAAAGTAATTTTTCTTCCTGAAAGACAAATTAGATAATTGTGGTATTTCTCCACATGTCTACAATTCACTTGCATTCACGTTGTCTTTCCTCCACCAATATAAGAAAGATAGATCAAATCATCTGTTAAATATTTATACAGCTAAAGAATGGCCTGGTCAAACAAAATAAGGTACCAATCAGTGAGTAAAAGTTATTACACTTTTATCTGGCCCTTTCCTTATCTAGTGATTCTAGAATCATTTCATATCACAAAAGATTTTTTTTCCCAAACACATGTAATAAGATACGGCATCTAAAAAAATAAATACAAAGACTTCTGTGATAAGTTCCAAGGAGAAAATGATTCAGAACAATTACAGACTTCACAGAAAACAGCATAATTCATCTCTTACCCCAGAATCTGACACAAACTGATCCACATATTGCCATTTAAGGGGTTCATCTGCTGAACTGAAAGGAAAGAGTGATTAAAAATGACAGTGAAAAAAGAACATGAATGTGTTCAAAAAGCTGTTTTGAAATGAGGCATTCTGTTTTGCATCCACTCATTCCTTAGGATACCATTCATTATAACTTGTATGTTTTGCTCAGCTATTTAAACAGAATATCAAGCAAGCATAAAATTATTTAGACTAGTAAAGTATTCAATTACTTCAGTGAGTAAAGCTGGCCAAATTTAAAACTGAGTAATCCTCTTCAACTGAAACAATAATGAGAAACTCCAGGAATAGCAAGGAAAATAATCATAAAAACTTAGATAGTTTATATAAATGTCTATGCAGATGCACACTTCATCAACATTTGTCAAACGTTCCACTTACAGTGTCAAACTGTCAACAAATTGGATGAGGACAATAGTTTGATCTTTTTCTAAGCTCTAAAGCAATTCTTGAATGCCATATACATGCAGAAGTAGTAAAGCTCCTTATTAAGCAAGATGTGTTGAGAATAAAATTTTCAGGAAGCATCAACCATTAACAAAGAAATCAGATTTTTTTCATTTAAGAAAGCAGCCATATAATAAGTCAGACCTATGTAACAAGATAACACACTAGACAAGCCATTTTAACTAGCTATAGAGATGCATGGCACAAATTTTCAAGCATACAGATAAACAAGAGTGATACCTTGAGTACTGAAAGGGCTGTGTGAAAATTAAGTATTATTACCTTTTGACTGGTATCATTCCAACATCTGAAAAAGAGAAATGCTGTGTTAAGTAACATTTTCTACTGGTCGCTGCTTATCTATTAACAACCTTTAGTAACAGAGGTGATTTTTGATGCCACTTACGTCTCACTTTTATGGACACTATTTTCTTTGTGCGAATGAGGTTTATGACTTCCTCGTGCGTGCATGATGAGATGGAATATCCATTTATACGAACTATCTCATCCCCAACCTAAACAAATGAAAGATAAAAGGAAAATGTGAATTAAAGTAAAAGTTTCTAAGAAATGATGTAATCAACAATAATTACAATGCAGAAGTTTGATAATGTTCTGTTCAGTACTTTAGGGATTTCAGGTAAACATTGGATGAAATTTACTTGTACTTGCTTGAACTTAATACTCAAAACCAATAGCATAGATTAATGGCCAGAATAACAGTTTTAGAAATAATATACAATGGAAAGCATGAAGATGAGCCAGACTTCTGCCTCACAATTTATCTTAAGTTCAGGTGTCCATTTTCCAGTTCAAACAATTTTTGAGTGATGATTCTTTATGTTTTAATAGGCTAAATTAGTTTTTATCACATGTTCTTTGAGATACCTTTTCAACTATTTTGGTCATTAGGACATAAAACTTGGTCTTATCCAGTTGTCTGATTCTAGGTTCAGAATACTACGTTATTTCAATGAATTTAGCTCAATTTCAGATGCAATATCTTATTGGCTATAAGAGTCATACACTAGCATAATGGAAGTTTATTCTGGGCTGCGGTAGCTCAAACTTTCTTGGATTATGTACACTAGTTACAAAAGAGTACATTATTCATCTGACATCCTTTCATGAGTCTCAAAGCAGCAACCCATTGTTTTTCATACACTGTGGCTGGGGGGATGGCACTGCCACACTACTGTCCCAACTCTCTTATTGTAAGACACAAAAAAATAAGCGGGACACTTGGAACAAAACCATACAAGAAAGCTCCCACCAAACGGAAAACAAATTATTATTTTATTCCCAAGGCTACTCTACATGCATGTGATACATATTTGGGCTACGTGGACGACAGAGAGCACGATCAGCTACAGAACAGACCAAGAACAAGCAACCTGAATAGCAGCAGGAACAAAACTAAGGTTATTCCCAAGGCAAATTCAGTTGAAGAAAGCTCAAGTGAAACCAGAATTAGTTGTATCAATAGCTCATGTTTATTTAGTGATAAAACGACACTGCACCACTGCAAAGCTTTCATTTAAAAAGGCCTCCTCTCCTTTAATTCACATCCATGCATATTATTTGACAACTTTGTTTTTGACAGCTTGATTGGAAGTCTCCCCCATGGAGACTTTCCAGCTTTACTGTTCTAGGACAGAAGATAACACCACCAACCTTAGTCACAACAAGAAAGTGATCTACTGTGGCTAGTTTAAATCATGAAGTGTTTCCACTGTTTTTTCCATCATATAATTTTGATGGGAGTATCTGTGCCTGAAAAGGCTTTTAAAAAGTGAAGAAGTCACAGTCCAGACCACTGAAGAGTAGCTTCTTTGTACCTTGCTGACAATTTTAAGGCAAAGATGGAGACAGATAGAAATTCCTGCTGTGGCTCTGCGCACTCTATCAGTTCTATTTAGCTCTATCTAAATCCTACCATTTACTTTGCCACGTTCATGGGAGAGGAAGACAACGAACAGGAAGCAGGAATTCTTCAGTATGGCTTGTGTCTTGTACACCAACTTGTTTGATGGGATATTAGACATGCCATCATACACCATCTCTACCTTTATTCATATGGAATAAATATCATATTTTCCAACTGTGCTCTGTTCAAGTGGAACAAAGGAAAAATAAAACCCACAGTCTACTTTTTCAATTCTTTCCCAGACTTTTCTACTTTTTCTGGGAAGTGTTATATGATGCATAGTAGTATGCAAAATACTACACACATAGTAGTATACGAAACCTCCCCCTCATGCCAAAATATCTCTTGAAGCACAGACTCCACTGCACTTCAATATGTTTAGCTAACACAGTATAACTTCAAAAGACCACCAAAGTGGAGGAGGAAAAAATAAACAAAAAGCAATCTACGACTCCTGAATTAGAGAATATTTTGCAGAGGCACATGATGACTGTAGTCCACAGCGGGTGGAACTGCTGCCCCACCTGCTGGACACTCAAAATCATACAATCAGAATCCTATAACTATAGAATAGCCTGGGCTGGAGGGGATCTTAAAGATCATCCAATTCCAACATCCTGCAATGGGCAGGCTGCCACCCACCAGTCCAAGCTGCCCAGGGCCTTATCCAGCCTGGCCTGTTCTTTCATGAACAGAGTGGTCAACACTGGACTACCTAGGAATCGTCAGACAGGGCAATGACCCACGTGCAATTCTAAGCACTCCTGGAGCTTAACTTTTTTCATTTAAGCCAGTAAGATTTTCAGAAAGAAGGGAGTTAACTCTGCGCTGAAGGCTTTTGAACATACAATCTATGATAAAAATCAGAGCATCTGAGAAAGAAAAGCACACCGCATCTGCAATGTAGTGTCACACCTCTTATTGCTCTATTTATGTGAGAGACACTTCTCTTAACTGTCTTGTTGCAAATGTTCAAAGCCACATCCATTCACTCATTCTTAACTGACAGCTATTGCCTTTCCTCTGAAAATCCACTGTGAAACTCTAAGACAGTTCTCTGCCCCAAAAACTAAGAGAGAATATAATCTAGATCTGTTTCACTGCCCTCCACACTTCAGAAAATCCATTGTAAGAAAAGCATTTTTAAGACCAGGCTTCTCATTGGCAACGGTTGTACTGCCAAGAAAAAAACAAGCTGTGACTAAACTCAGACTCTTGTGGCTTTGTGCACAGAGACTTAACATTCTCTACAAATCATTAAGACTTTCAAATGTATTTAGGATTCTACTGCTCAAGCTAGGAAACAATAAGAGAGCGAGTGACCCTAATTTTCAAAGGAAGGCCGGCTGAGTCCTCAGTAATAAAACACCTAATAGAGCTTCATCCCTTCCTACCTTTGGCCTCTCTGGATTACACACTTTAAAAAATACCAAAAGTTTGTGTAAAATAATTTACCACAAATATGTACTATTGTCTTCAGTTGTTCTGTCTGCTCAGTTCACCTTATACACTTATGTTGGTGGTTTTTATTGTTTATTGCTTTTAAATATTTTTAAGAACAGTTCAAGATCTGTCCTTTATTCCCCGCTTCTATGCCAAGAAACTACAACAGCCCATGGAGCCTTGGCCTACATAAAAACAAAAAGACAAACTTAAGAAAAGTAAATTGTTCTTAAGGAAATAGCCAAATTCAATGCGATCAATTGCAGTGATGTGACACACAAAGGAATCTACTTTTGAGGAAAAAGTGTTACTCTGAAGTAAGCTAGCCGTATCTGTTAGCATTACATCATTGTCCTAACAGACACAAAATTATAAATGTAGCCAAGAGAGTTTTTTCTCCTCCCATAGAGCAATGAATTTTTCCCACGTAGATATTTTCACCACTGATCTTCACTATGTTGTCATTCCATTTCTGAAGCTTGCTATGCTTAACTCGTTCTAAAAACAGTTCCATTATTGCCAGTGAAAACTGATGATGCCTTAGAACAATGCCAGTCTAGGCTGAAACTACAGGAGACATCATAGGAATGTAACACATCACTTCTTGTTACAACATTTGAATTGCTTTTTCTGGGGAAAAAAAAAAAGAAAAAAAAAAGTGTCCACATAGTTAATTCGTACCTGTTTTTCATATATCTTTCTTACTTTTCTACCAGTATTATTCCATACCAAATGTCTCATTCAGAAGCAGTAAAGAAAAGTTTGCACAACTGAGCAGAGTAGAACACTAACTCTTATGTCACTGTATATTCCTATTTCTCTAAAAACAAGGAGACATCAAACTTTCAAAACTCAAGCTGCAAACCTTTTTCCCCAAGTGAAACACCCTTTATTTTCAACTTTTAACATGAGAAATACAATATTTAGTGCTTCCAGGAAATTGAATGGCTTTTACACAATAACACCATTGTTTCAAACTTCTCATTTGGTATACTACTTCTACTTTCATCATTCATATCAATCTAATCTCTTTGTATTCAACAGAATCCTCACAGATATTTATATCTGAGAAAGCAGAGAAAAAAAAGTAGTTCTTCATGAAAGGACTAAGCACTCACCTTTTTTGAGAAAATGTAGCTTAAAAAAAAAAAAAAAAAAAAGGTGAAAAATTTTTTAAAAAAAAAAAACATAATTTTGCGATTTTAATGTGGCTTGAAAAATACTTCAAGGAGAAAAATTTGCAAAATTAACTATTTTTTTTTTTTTTTTTTTTTTAAAGCACAATAATGGACTGATGTTATAAAGAAGATCATTATATCTTTCTCAGACAGCATTTTCTGGTTAGAAAATGTGTAGAGATTTAGTTAAATAAAACAAGTGGATGAAATTTCAGTAGCAGTTGGCTTTACTGCGAGACAGCAATTTAGAACAATGGGCTGCCTGTCAACTCCTGCCACTCAGATGGCTTTAGAAAGTGCCCAGTGCCACCTATTATGAAGGCACCTGAAGGCGATCTTTAACAGCCCGTATCAGGGAACGGAAATCAGGCAGTTACTTTAGCTGTGATGCACCAGCTGTTAATATATATCATCTAACCCTAACAAATTCATAGTCTGAAGGATATTCTGTGCTTGTTGTCCCTGTTACGTCTGCTAAACTCTAGCTAAGCTTCTAAGTTGCAGTACAACTTGTAAGAGCAGCCCAAAGGTCCTCCTGTGCAATCCCATTCACCATCACTATTTATCATGTCCAAACATTAGCCTGAAACAAATGAGGATCAGATCTGCAAGATAGCATTAAGATGAATGTACTACCATGACAGCTGAAGACAGTGGCCATTAAATCCTTTACTGCTGGGCACCACTAATGCCTTCAAGCATTCTCCAGGAGATACTTTTTAAAAAAAAACAACATAGATGACTAGTCTTTTTTTTTTTTTTTCCCCAGCGATGAAGGAAGGATGCGGCTGGAATCTCACTACCAAACTTGCTACAATCCAGGAACATCAGTGCATTGGTGTCCCTTTCTGGATAACCCACAGGTACCTCCCATGCTTAGGAACAGGCTACTGACATTACAGCCTATGTTAACTGTGTCTGATATATCACCCTCTCAACGATAAACTCAGAATTTTTGAGTATGTTCCCTGAATTTGAGGTTTTGTTCCAAAAGGGAACTTCTAAGAGCGTCCAGGAAGCTGGTCATGTTCAGAGAACACTGCCAAAAGACAGGACTAATTCAGTGTTGATTCTGAATTGGTGAATGGCATACATAGCTGTAAATGCACAAAAGAGCATGTGGATATAAGGAAACGTGTACAGACGTGTGTATAAGGAAACGAGAACAACATGTACATTTTAGAAAGCTCTCAATATAATATGCAAACATGGAACTTGTACAGTCAGCAAATGTACAATGCAGCTAGGATGGTACTTCACAGGTGTCATAGTTGGAAAGATTATCATAGTGGGAAAGAGATAATCAAGGAAGAAACGCTCACCCATATCTAAGGATATAGGCTCACAGTGGAAAACTCTACAAAGAAGGGATCTCCAGAAAGAGACCCTTCCCCTGTGGCAGTCAGCCCTTAAATGGGGTCTAGGAGAGGTGCAGCCAGGCTCCACCCCTTCCAGTCAACAGGTGAATTGCCTTCACCTGTGCTCCCAGGGCTGACACAGTCCTTGCCTCAGGTGAGCAATCAGTGGTTCAGGCCGTGACTCAACAGTTCCCATTCAGAACTCTAACCGTAACAGCCGTATCATTAAGGGTTAAAATGAAGCATACCTACAAAATATAACTTAATTAAACACTGTATCGAATCATGATGATTAACACATTTTGAACTAGTATTAAATAGAAACCTTGAACGTCAACTCTTTCAACAACTATTCACACTCCACAAATTTAAATTAGCCAGACTTATCAACTGTTCTACATGGAAACAGACCTCCAAATACTCCTTATCAGCTACAGAAAGATTTACGTAGACAACTGCCACAGCAACTGCTCATTTCTCTCTTCACTATGTATGAAGAAGGAATGACACACTAAAAAGAAACCAACAACAACAAAAAACAAATACAAAAAAAACAAACAAACAAACAACAAAAAAAAAACACCACAAAGCAAAACAAACAAACAAAAAAAACCCATACAACTACACAACCTCAAATGTACAAGTCAGAGAAGTACTGAATTAGGAAAAAGAAGCGTTCCTATACTTTTTTTTTTTTTTGCCAGCACTGTTACAGTTCAGATGCCTAGAGCTTAATCATTGGAAAAGCAACTCTATACAGTATAAAATATACTTGTAATGGCTAAATAGGGAATGTTTCTTTTCTGCATTTTCACTGGGAAAAAAGCCACCACCACAATACAATTTATGTAATGAGGTGTTTATTTGAACTCCGTGTATAAATCATATCAGCGCAACATGGAAATAGCATTCTTAATATTTATATACTCTGTCCTAATTCTATTGCCAAACGGAATTGCCAAATTCTGAAAAATGAGAATTTGGCAAAATTAGAACAATCTTCTCTGTCTGCTTACATTTAATTATTGCAAGTAACAAAGTATAAACTCCAGAAAAACCTTTTATCGTCCAAAATGATCGCAGCCCTAAGATGAAGAAAGTTTTACCATCTACAATCAAATAAAACTGATGAAGAGAACAATTTGAATAACTGCATTCACCAGTGGCATTTGCTGTGACATCAATGTACATATCTTACATATTTTGTTAGAAGAGACAAAAATCACCTAGCAACTTAGCTTTTTCTAAACATGAAAGAACACTTCTTAATGCCTGTTTCTCTAACGTCACAGAAAAGCTTTTTACAGCACAGTATCAACGGATATAATTGTCTTACCTGCAGTCCAACATTGTCTGCTTGTCCTCCTTTAACTAACTGGGAAATAAAGAGGCCACAGCTAAATTCCGCTCCACCTCTCACACTTATTCCCAGTCCTTCAGGGTGCAAACGATCCAATCTCACTTCCTTCAGTTTTCTGAAACAGGGGAAGATACCTAACTGCCCAGCTGCATAACGTTTCCTAGTAACAGCATTTCATATGAAAGCTGTGTATTATTTTCCTCTTAGAGCATTCAGATATGAAAAAAGAACAAGTTGACTAAAACTTCAATGGATGTCTATTTATTAAAACCACAAAGTAGTTCCCGTAAGAAAAATCACTGCAATCACTGAAGCTGTCAGTGCTCATAGGGTGTTAGAGCAATAAGATTTTTTGTTTCTATTAAATGCAGGAAAAATGAGGAAAGTTTATTTCAAAAGAGAAGCATTGTTTTTGGACTCCCACACCCTACTTTTACTAGATTAAGCTACTTTGCAAAAAGTTTCAGGTAGTTCAAGTTTTTCTACAAAACACAGCAAAGTTTAAAAGCGCCTATGTGCCCAGCTCTGCATAGATAAACTCCAAGTAAAATACCTGCTGTCTTAAAACTCAGTATTTCTTGTTTGTATTTATCTGGAGTTAGCTACATTGTTCTGCATTTCTCTTACCTTGATCTTTTGGGCGTAAGCTGATCGTACTCCACCTGGTGTTTTAATGGAATAAGTGGGCGGATAGCATCAAACAGAGGCAGCCTGCTTGGTTCATTAATTACGAGTTTTAGGTCACCCACAAGCACTGGAAGGTTCATAGATCTACAAAAACACAGCGAGAAAAGAGGCAGGGGTCATCAACACAAAGCACTATTAAATAACTTGCTGTTGATGTGGCTTCAATATTGGTGTGTCCTTGCAACTAAGAAAGTTATTTATACAAGTCTTTATTTAACCAAACCAAAATAACCTCTGGAAAAGTAAACTTTCTATAAGCAAACAAAAAGAATACCTCCTTCAAAATGACTGACATCTCTTATCCATTGTCTTTATCATTTAAGGTCACATACATAACTTCTATCGATGAGATCTGTAATTAAACAAAGCTCCTAAAAGAAAACTTATACAACATCCACTTAAACTTAGTCTATAGTAGTACCAGCTGTTCCCTTTCTTACAGTTTACATTTCCTGGCATAAAATATTTTCCAGGCATCTGCACTGAAAATACAAACCGGGAATGTATGTTACACAGCTTTCATTTTGAAGTGCTTTTCACAAAGAAGAAATGTAAAAATGTGTTTTGTCCAACAGTGATTGCGTGTAATTTTTCCTTGGAATACTCCATAAAAGGTTTTTTAAAAATTGGTACTTCATCAATATATGTTCATAGAGATATTGAAATTCTGCTTAAGCTATTGCCATTTTGGGAACCGAGGAACAGTTATACTATACACGTTGTTAGTTCTATAACTGGAAGAAGATTTTAAATAATTAAGAGATACTGATTCAACCTGCTTTCCAAACAACAGGCTTTATGAAAGGAGAAGCAATTAGGCAGACCTGAGTGAAACTGAATCAGATATGCAGCTGAATACACCAAAAGCTATAGCTTCGTACAAACATCTGATCGAAACGTCTGCATTTCACTCAGCTTAGATGCTATTAAGGTATGAATGGAAACGATGTCTATCAGAGCCACTCGTCTATGATGAGTGGAAAATACTTTCTAATCCTCTTTGAGAAACAATGGATGAGATGCTGATCTCATCTGCAGTGACACAGGTCCAAAGAAACTGTGGTTTAAATCAGTTCAGCAAAAGAACTAGTGACCAGCCTATCACCTTACAGTTTCTTTCCATTATATCATAATAACTCAGAGTTAAACAAGCCAGACTCCCACCCTAAGTTTTCAGCTTTTGGGTAAAGCAGTTGAAAGTAACTCTTATCCTAAGTAGTAAGCAAAAATCTTTACTCAACAAAAACCTCTGCTATAAAGAAATAAGCATCACTGGGAAATAATTAATTTGATAAACATTCTCTTCCTGTCTCTGAAGAACTGTTCTATCATCCAGATGCTTCACTCCCACAGTCCACCCCTAATCAACCAAATTCATTTCCAAAACAGCCAAGTCATAACGTCAAAATAACTTTATGAGTGACAAAGAAATGCCCCCTTAATGTCTGCAGGCTACATTGTAGAAGCATAATATTTCATTAAAAAGCACAAAAAAATACTACTTCTGCTGTAACTTCCTGAAAGAGCACTTAAAGTCTTGACTCCCAAAACATTCTCAGTATTCTACACAAACATATATAAAGCTACTTACTGGTGGTACATCCGCAGCACATCATAAAGGTAATCCTTCTCCGCTTCATTGTCAATTAGCAGATTAACCTGAAAAGCCAAGGACGTTACTGTAGATCTGATTAAACAGCCACAAACGCCAAATGTACAAATCTTCAACAAGTTCTTACGTCACAGATCAAAGACTTTAGCAGGGAATGGGTTTTTATTTTTTCTAAATAAAAAAATATATATAAATAAGAAAGTATCCTTCAAAAAATGAAATTGACAAGACTTCTTTTAATTTATTATTGCAGCAATTGGACAAAATAGTAAATATTGAAGTCCTCTTGGCCGTGCAATACCTCTAAAATAACAGAATATCAGTCTTACCTGATAATCGCTGTACTGTTGAATAAATGTTTTCAGAAACCTTTTTGGCCATTCGTTAATATAGCACATGCTGTCACAGATAAAAACATTCCTCTGAGATAATTACAATCTATGTTCTGTGGTTCCAATCCACTGATTTCAGGCAGTACCTTATTTGTAACATTACGTAAACAGCTGCACTACCTTTCCTCTCAGCTACAGCTCTTAACTGGTAGAACTTGCCAGTTATTCTTTCCTCCCCCTGTAATAGTACGTTTAGTTAAACCAGTGTCACATTACAGTGCCTGTTCTCAAATGCTTACAGGAAAATAAAGATATATATAGATATAAATAGATCAACAACAACAAACTAGAATTCTTATATGAGGAATTCAACTTACACTCTGTGATGCTGGTGAGACCTTCCAGTAAGAGGTCACAGCACAGCAGCTTCACATTTAGACAAGCTCAATATTTAAGAAAAGAATTTACATTTGACCTAAAGGCTAATATTACTGTGAGGTGTAGACTGAAGACCAATTTGCATAGCTAAACAAAGGCCCTTGCTTTCTAAGTTTGCAATGCTTTATATTATATTCTAAACTAAATACATGCTTCACATTCCCTTTGTCCCTTTTAGAAATTTACCTAGGGCCATCAATAACTTCTATCTGCTGACTCCAGCTTCATAAATCTGTTAAAGATCATGCCTCCACATTTAAGAAAAGAGGAAATCAACGGTGACATAACTTGGACAAGTGAAATATTCTAGTATCTCTTTTTTTCAATAAAAGTTAATTTTGAAGGCATAGGATAGGTGATTCCACAGCTTTCAAGCCAAGAAGCGTCCATTCTACTTGTTTTTCTTATATGAAACTCCTATAAAACATCTGTTGATTTGTGCTCCAGGACCATAGCTTCTGGTTCAACTCCACTGTCCCTTTTGGAAATTAACAGACATTAAAAGATTCTAAGAGTTCACCCAATGTATTTCTGTGTCTGAGAGACAACAGACAAAGTTTGTTTTCACACATGAAAAGTTACTTTGCATGATGAGCGTAGAGCATCTCATACTCAGTGTTACACATGTATACATGCATGGACAAGGTAAACTTGTCTACAAAGACACCAACCATGGCCAAGACATGTCTGTACCTACTAACCTTGTCAAAGATATACTTCTAATCTTTCTTCAGTGCAACAAATTTTTGCAACTTCCAACTTCTCCATGTTTTTTTATTGTGTTCTATCAAAGCAGTGCTATCACAAGACTCACAGCATACTAGCAGGCTTTATAAAAAACGAAGCATTCAACAGACATCTATCTGAAAAGAGGTAACACCTGAAATTAAAACAGAAAGTGCAACTGATGTAAACTCTCTTAACTGTAAGAGCAGACCAACTTGAAGAAAGTAGTTACGACAAAGTTCTTTCACTAGCTGAAGAAATGTTTTGCTGTTGGCAATCACAAAACACAGAGCTGGCTGCTGCTGACTAATCATGTCTACTAATTTCTTTTACTATCTGTAAAATTGTTACGAGCTTTGCCTTCAAGCATGCTTTTCATCAGAAAACTGATATAGAGAAAGATTCTGCAGGTAAAAGTGAGTATTTAGAAATGGATTTACTGATTCAGTTTCCGGAATGAGCTTCAATATACGGCACCATTTAACTTGAAACGCAAGACTGCAAAGCGAACTGTGTAACATCTGCTGCCCTTTTAAAACACTGCGGAATCAACTTAAAAGTAAATCAGTTCTCAGGAGCCTTAATAAAGTGAAAATACACTTTTACTGTTTAAAATCAGCACTTTTTGGTGTGAAACAGGTTCGTACTACAGTGATGGGGCTGTTGCAGCAGCAGCGTGTCAGTCAGCTTTTGCAGAACAATATCAAGTTCCATGTGAGTTTTGAGGCCTTGGAAAGCTAATAAGGAAAACTGAAAAGCGGGCCAATAGGTTTACGTATATAACTTGTATTAGTGCTTCATCAGTGGGGAGAATTGATTGAAATTACTGAGGACGAAAAATGAAATGAAAGAGACAAATATCTGAGTGGTACATAACTGGTCATTTTCCTCGTTTTGACCAAGGAAAAAAAAGCAGTCAAGACATCGAAATCCCCACAGAGGCCACTTCAGCATGATTATACAAACCAACTTAAAGAAGTGTTCCAGTATCGTCTTACTCAGAGGAAGCACTTTCACTTAGGCATGAACCCTACGTACTTGCACCAACACATGCTGACAATAAGCCTTTCTTACTCGATCGGGGTGGGACTGGGATAGTTTATGAATAATTGCAGCAGCAGTTAAAGGGAAGAGGTGGAAGAGGGTTTAAAGTTCAGAATGGCAGCCATCCGCCTAGCAACCTGAGCCCTTACAGATACCTTGCACAACCCACTGCTGGGTTACACAGTAATAGATATCAAAACTGAAAGTACTTGCTGCACAGCTGCAGCCATCATTATTCAGTATCCAGGTTCTCAAAGTCTTTGGAATTCATTTCGTTGTTTTTTTGTTTTGTTTTGGTTTTTTTGTTTTGTTTTTTTTTTTTTTTTTTACAGCCCCTCTACTTCATTCTAACATTTCCTTGTTAACAACTTCATTACCAGATGATATTTCTACAAAACACTTCTTCTCTTTTCAGGAGCTATCTCAAAGAAACTCCTCATCCGAGGAAAGCAAACAAACAAAGCCAGCACTCACTGTTACGAAAAACAAAATCCTAAATATGTAAATCACTTTTCTCCTCGTTTCCTTTTGCGGTTATTCCACTCATGCACTTTCGATCTCTGCCAAAGGCTTATTTGATGGTACATGATACAAGATGTGCCAGGCAGAGGGAGCCGCTCCATGCATCAAGTGCCTTTGCACATGGCTGCACACACACAATTGCACTCCCAAGCATTAAGGAGGAACTGAACTCCTGCACAGAAGCTGCCTGCAGAACCGTGGGCCTGGACTTCAACACCTGCACCTTTGCCTTCCGCAAACTACACTGGGTGCTACACTTTCGATATGATTTTATTAAAATAACACAACACCCACTGTATCAACGCTCATGCTTCAAAGAATGGTTTTTGCTGGTGGTGGTTTTGTTTGTTCGCTTACTTGTTCGCGGTTTGATTGTTTGTTTTTCTCCTCCCTACCACTTCAGGGACCCTCTCACAGCAGGCTCACCCTGCCACTCCTGTCACCCGACCCACGGGCGGCGCACAGCCCAGAGCCGTGCCCCAGCGCGGCGCTTCGCTTCGTTTCCCCCATCCCGAGATGAGCAGCCGTGCCCCGAGCTTTCCTTACCTTGTGCCGGAACTCGCGGGCGACCCGGCGCTCCATGCTGCGCTGCTACGCGGGGTGCGGACGCTGCGCGGAGCGGCTGCGCCTTCGAGGCCGCGCCCCGGCGGGGTGGGAGGTGCGCCCGCCGCCGCCTCCAGCAGCCCCGGCTGTCGGTACCGGCCGCTGGAATCGGGTACCTGAGTGCGAACCGACGGGACGGCTGCTTAAGGGCAAATCGAAAGAAAGAAAAAAGGAGATAAGAGAAAAAAGTCACCCCTTTCTGCAGGCTGTTCCCTCAGCTCGCACCGACCTGTTGGCTGCGGGATGAACTTACAGCCTGCTCTCACGCAGCAGGAGCTGACGCCCAGCCTTCTCTGGTCCTGGTAGGCAGGTGTGCCTCTAGCTCTGCTTTATACACAAACTGCAAGATATAAAATGGATAGCATGCGAACACCCGGTGGAAGGCGAATTTGTTTCAGTGAATTATTCTACTGAAATATATCTAATATATATTTAGGTAAACTGTGTGATTGTGTTGTACCGTAGTTGGGTGTTCAAGTCTGACTTCATTGCCAACAGGCTTTCCTATGAAAGTAAACACCACTGCTTACATCGGTAGCATGAAGTGCCTACAATGAGTGACTGGATAGGAATCAAGCTCAAAGCACCTGAAAGGGAAGCTCTTTCACACTAATCTCTTGTAGGTCATTTTGTCCTGGGCTCCTGCTCCTCCTACCTTCCCTGATCTAGTACCTGATAATAAAGACTTCTACAATGAAGGCTAGCAGAAGTGCAGGGGAGCAGCTGCCCCATGTCCTTGAGCCTCACAGCAGAATGAGTTTTACCTCCCTAGCTCCATAGGGAATGTTAAGCACTGGAAGCTTCCCTGACTGCGGGAACCTGTCGGGATGTATAGAAAGGCATGATAAAAGTAATTAAAAAATCCAAGCAGCCAAATACAAACCATATAACAAATATATTATTTGTGTTAAGTGACACCAGCTCCCTTGGAAATTGCTCCTGCCCCTTTTTGCTGTGTAGGCACATTTCAGTGGTAGGTCCGCTGCCTGCTTTGCACATAGGTGTCAGGAAAAAGAAGGAGGAATGCACTGCCAACCTGTGTACAAACACAGAGAGCTTTCAGAAAACAAACTTCTCTTAGTAGCACAACAAATAGACAAATCACTTGTCTTCTGCCTACGGTAAGCTGCAATACCACACCATGCTGAAAAGTTGTTCTAACGGAGCATTTTACACATTGTGAAATAATTTCATCCCTGCATAAGTAAAATAAAATTGTTTTGTATTTGCCAACAGCAGGAAGGAGATGCACAACTTTAAAGGACATTCCTTACTTTGTACGCGTCCTTCAGTTTTACATTGAACTCTATGTCAGTGATGTCTGTCAATCACTACGAGAGGACTTCACAGAAATGGATCTTTTGTCAGCTGAAGATTATGTGTACTTGAAAGAAATTGACTTTTTAACCCTAATTTTCAGCTGATGAAAGAATAATTTCTGTAAAATCCCTGCTTCAAACAGTGAGCTTAATAATCAGAAAATTTGTGAGATGATTCTGAATCATTCATTACTTCAAATAGGCCAGATTAAAAGATGGTATAATTTTGACTGCTTATTAGTTTTGGTAATGAAATCTTTCATGTTGGGAAATCAAATTATGCCTAAATCAGCTTTAAGCTCATTCCAGTTATTATTATTACATGTGGCATTAAGGAAAGATGAATAAAATGGTCAAGCCCATTTGCAAAGCAAAGAAATGCATTAAAATGTTTGTTGTGCAAACATTTTTTTGCAATGTTTTTTGCACTTTTGTTGCACAAACATACTTTTGATGAACTCTCTCCACTTCCATTAACATGGTCAGGAACAGAGAAAGCACACCAAAGCCAAGTGTGTGGTGTGCCCAGAGGAGCAGGGCTCTGCGCCGTGGGCAGAAAACAAGTGCAAAACTCTGTTTGAGGTTATTTAGAAAAGGATCTTTTCTGTCTCCTCTTTTCATCTCTCATACACATTCTTCCTCTAACTTTTACAGGAGAGAACAGAATCCTCGGTGAAAACATCGCTGGTTTTCCATCATTTCATTAGAAATGAAAAACACTTGTTGCAGCAAGAAATACAATCCTCAGGGACAAATTACAAAGGCAGAAAAGAGACCTTTTTAATGACTTTCTGTTAACAGACTTCCCGAAGCAGGCAGAAAAGGCCCCTTTTCATTCGAGGCAGTTTCTCACCCGGTGTGGGCAGCTTCTAAAGCTGCTGTTACAGGATATGTGCACCTGCAAAATGACTGGGGGAAAGGCAGCAGCAGATGGGAGAGGGAAAAGCACAGAAAATAATAATAATAAAAAAAAGGCAACAGAGAGAAAGAGGGAAAAGGGGGGAAAAAAAGAGGTTAGGGAAGGTAGAAAGAGCAGAAAAGAAAAGAAAAAAAGCTCTAAATTCAAGACTGAGTGTGCAGCTGTGAGAAGCTACAGAAATAATCAGTACACATCAGCTGCATGCCGCATTCTGCACCAGCACGACTGTTGTTGTTAACAGAGTTCTGTCGGTCGCTCCAGCAAGCAGCCTCGAGCCTTCAGCTCACGAGGCACTGGTAACCCCTGTGCCAGCAGCCGGTGCCGGGAGCCGTGCGTAGCCAGCAGCAGTAGGGCAAGACCCAGCAGCACGGGTGCTATAGCATAGAGCTCAGATACGCAACCCATCGCTGCGCAGGAAATGCGGGCAGTGGAGGCGCTGCGCGTGCCCCTCACCTGTAGCAGATACAGGGCTGCACGATGAGGGGTGGTGGCTTAGGAAAGGGCCGGGGCGGAGGGCGGGAGGCCACTTATACCCCCCGGCCGCTGCGCCTGGGAGGGCGGAGTGAGCTTAAGTAGCGGTCGGTGTGAGGGGCTGTTGCTTCTCAGGACATCACTACCCATCTGTATGGAGGCTAGGCTGCTCCTCGGGGCGCTGCTGTGCGCCGGGCTGCCGCCGGGTGAGCTTCTAACTCGAGTTAGCATGGTGTAGCGTGGTCTGACTGCTGTTAACCTGGTGCTTTTGTTTTGCAGCTTGGTCTCCGCGAGGTGCCAGTGCGAAGACTCCCGCTGGTGATGACTTCCCCATCCACAGGTAAGAGCAGCCGGGGTGGAGCGGGGCTCCTGCGAGTTGGGCTGCCCGAACCGACCAAACCCTGCCGTGTTCTGCCAGCAGCCCAAGCAGCGCCGCGGGACCTTGGAGAGAGGACGGCCTCGGTGCAGCCATGCAGGTAGGGAGAGTGGGAGAGAGTGGGGGGTCTGCGCTCAGCCCTTTGGACCATGGGGTGGTGTCTTATGAAGCGTGAATGGGGCAGCAGTGGGTCCTTCGTGACACGAGGTGATGCCTCGTCCTGCCTGTCTGGTGGAGGTATGAGGCGGGGCTGCTGTGGGGTCACGGTTTTAGGCACGGGTAACACCAGGTGCTTGGGGACTGAGGCTCCCCCCAGGGGGTCACTGTACAGAAATAAGCTTCATTTCCTTCTGTGGTGGCTTCCGGGGCTTTTAATACTTCTTCTGTAAGAAATATGTGCAGGAGAAATGGGAAAAAAATACATACGTTTCTTTTCTTAATCAGGAATATGAGGTAGAACAAACCATTTTTACATGTTCTTCCTTTTAATAAGCTGTCTTAAAAGAAAGAGGTACAGCAATGCTAAGGTTGTTCTTACACTCTCTGCAGGGTTTATGTTCACAGAGACATAGCTCTTAATGTCAGTTTTCAGTCAGATGTGTCAATAGATATCTAGGGCATGGAAAGCACTTGCTGTTTTACAAATGCTTTATAGAAACCTTCACAGGACTGAGAAAACCAAATAAACATGATAGACGTGATTGCATCCTTAGCTAAAGCCCCATAGATGCTGCTGTTGGTGTTCCTGGTGGGATTTGGGCATGTTTATTGCTATTTCTATCGCTTTGTGCACAATAAGAGGTAGATATGTTATCCTATTTTACTGAGTAACATGTTTATTATTGAATTTACTTTGATGAAATCTGTACTTTATTTCAGTGGCATAGTAGTTACTTATATAACCATTGTAATGATGCAGCTGCAGTTCTTCAATCTTCAAAATTCCATGGTGGAATAGATGAAGACTTGAAATAGAAATGGCTGTAGTGTTTGTTTTACTGTAGTAAATAAGCTATATAAATGAAAGTAAATGCATTTATAATAAGGGAGAAACTTATGATGACAAGTTTTAGGCTTCTGAGGATAGAAATGTCCACATTGATTTGAGAAACATGTTAGTTGCCTTGGATGCAGGCTATGGTAGAACAAAGGTAGGTTATTGTGAAGATAAGGGATGTGTTTTTAACATAGTCATGCTAATTATTCTAAGCTGTAGCTAATTGTTATTACATGATAGTCTAGAGGCAGTTAAGAGTTGATGGGGAGGATAGGAGTATAGGATAGGGTACACAAGAAAGTATGTAGATGTGAGTTTTGGGTATTTTAGTTAACAGGCTGAAAATCTATTTGCTCTCTTTGTGCCTATTTTGCCTATCCTGTGCCTACTGATAGTAGCTTACTGGAGTCATTGGAGTGATGATACATTTTAATATGCAGTAATGGTTTTTTGGTAAATTTTCAGTAAATTAAATATGAAGAGTGAGGTTTATAAAATTGGTAAATTCGTGGAGAGATTGGGAAGAGTTTTTGCCACTCTTGGCTTTAGCAGCTTAAATAGCTTTCTTCTTCCTTAAAGGAGTCTGGAATGACAGTTCATAATGCTTCAGCTACTGCAGTATCGTTGCCTCAGAACAGAAGACTTCACAGTATGAAATGTGGACCATCCAGTAAGTTGAACTTTTTTTTCATGGAAATAACTTCGTTTGTCCCTGATATTCTGCACAATTTAATTATTGCTATGAAGGAAAAAAGTTGAATAATACAAACTTGTTAATAATAATAATTAACATATAAGTTGGTGCTACAAAATTATGCTGAGAAATTTATTACTGCTGTGATTGTAATGCAGAATTTAGTTCACTGTGTTTGTTGCTAAGTGCATTTTTTTAATGGCACAAATGAATTTTGTGTTCTGCTTCAGAGAAAGCGGCTGAAAGGGTT